TCAAACACAAACCGAACACTCGGTCCCTACCCTCGGTTGGACCTTGGAATGACGAAATCTAATTTAGCATTAAGTTGGGCTTGGATGCCTTTTTGGGCTTTTTATGGATTTGGGCCTGAGGGGGAGGGAGGCCCATTGAGGCAGGGGTAAAGGAGCCCTTTTTGCCTTAAGTTAAGAGTTAGGGTTTTGGACTTGAGTTCGAGATCATCACTTTAGAAGAAGAAGACCAATCATAGGAGAAGAATAAGTCATTCGTTCATGAAGAAACCCTAAATCGGTTTTTAAAGGAGGAATATATCATTTATTGTTTTGTCAATCATTATTATGTCATGTCATAATAGTTATGCCAAGTTATCATTTAACCTGTAAGAACCAATTACCGGTGGGTAATATTTGAACAAAACATATAGTTTGTTGGTGTTTTTTGTACAAAAAGTTTACTTGGATGGTGTTTTTTGAACATACCAAACTTGGATGGTGTTTTTTGAACGATTTTGAAACATAGTTACCTCTTTGAGTCATTTTCCTATTGTTTTTTTTTCCTTTACTTATTTTTTACCGGTAATTGCCGGTTACCAAAGGTCAAATTTGAACAAAGAATGTACTTGGTTGGTGTTTTTTATACAAATGCTTTACTTGGATGGTGTTTTTTGGACACACCAAACTTGAATGGTATTTTTTGAATGATTTTGAAACATAGTTACCCGTATAAGTCATTTTCCCTTATTCTATTGCTTGTTGTCACGCTCCACTTTCTTTGCATTTTCTTCTGTTCATGGTTGTAAGTTGTGACAGAGACACGCTATTTTCTATGCTTTATTAGGTTATGTTGTTCTAGCCTCTAGGCTTTCAAAAGTGGAAAGAGTACTTGCCACAAGCAATGGTGAGGCTCTTGGGAGTGGCCGTTCATCAGCCATGGATGCCAGCAAAGACACGACGCACACCACCACACCGTTTCTAGTGTGGTTGTGCCCAACTTTGTAGTGTCGAGGTCCTTTCCTTCTCTCTTCTTCTTTCCAATGGCTAGATTTGCATTAATTTATTTTGTTTTATTTTTAATTTTTATTATTGTAAATACCAACCAATCTTATCGTTTTAAACCAAAATAACACTTCTATTTTCTTTCAAATCCACGTACGACGCTTTATGCGATGACGAAGTGGGAAGTTCTCAACATACAATATAGATACATATAATCCAACGTAGATATGTATAAGACAATCTACCAATACCTACCCAGTCCAATCGATTCTCATAAATCCTAGTTCAACGATCATCTAGAAGAATCACCTTACATGATGAGTCGTTTGAGCAACTAATTAACTACACAGCTAGGGGATTCCTTGGCCAATGTGAGTCATTTAAAGACAACCAATGTTTAGAGTGTTCGATAAATATTGCATCCCATTTTATCTACGTCTATATGTTATAAGTCCACACTAGCAATGTAATTCACAAGACCGTCTAGAATAATCAAGTATTGTCATCCTACTCTGATAGATGACACAGACATACCTATCGGTTGTCTGATTCAGATACATCATTTCTGGTTGTCTAGAAAAATGAGGACTACTACACTCCGCCTTAATCTCATAATTTACTCCATAATGAGACTATTCAATTATTCAACTTATTTCGAACTAAGCATCCTTTAGAATTCTTAGTTTATAACTATACGAGATTATATTAAAAGTACTCGACTTCCAATACAGTTTCCTGATCATGCAATACATATGATAATATATATATATATATATATATATATTATATATATATTATATATATATAGATATATATATATATATATATATATAATCAACACAAAATACAGATAGTAAATGTTTAATATATATTTAATCTTTTGAGCAATAAATACTTTTACTAAGATTACTTTCTTAAAAATAACTACACACTCACCTGGTTAAAGGTAAAAGACTTTTGGTTAAGTCAGCGTTTTGCCTAACACTCTCTTTTCTTTTTAAAAGACCTAGATACGAATATTACTAATTTTTCAATCGTCGTTTAAATTATCCGAGATTAACATTATCTAAGATTTCTCATTAATCCCAAGGAATACTAAGTTCTATCAGACAATGAATGACCACGTAATATCATATTAAAGGTAAGATCCGTTTGGTATATAAACTGTTTGGAAAATCCACTTTCAACACGTCACTAAGATTTAGCCTTGTCATCATGCCCGTAAGTAGATCAATATGTATTATAATTGAAATTACTGATAAATCTTATTTATAGGTTCATAACAACGACACTGAACACAAATATAAATTACACTTAACAAGCATAGTAAGTGTAACTCACCTTACGAGATTGTCTAGCGAAAACTTAGAACTTTGCGGGCAGAACTTCGTAGCCGAATCTTTCTTCTGAAAGATTTTTCCATCAATTCAACACTCCTCTAACGATACTACTAAAACTACAGAACGAGAAGTCGAATCATCGCTACAAGAATAACAGGCAATAGCGGCGACATCAAACAAACACGTTTTTTGTCGCCGCTAAAAGTGTCCGTTGGCGCTAAAGGCTTATGTTGGCGATCCGCGTCATTTCAACCCTAACCGTCGATTTAGGCGATGATCCAACGACTAGGAGGACGTAGAAAACCCCGCGTTATTTTCCTTCCGGTGTGTCGCCGCTAAAGGTTACCCGTCGCCGCTAAAGGTGTCGCCGCTATTGCCTGTTCTGGCGATCCGCGTCATTTCAACCCCATCCGACGATTTAAGCAATGATCCAACGATGTAGGAAACCCCAGATTGTTTTCCCTCCGATGTGTCGCCGCTAAAGGCCGCCCGTCGCAGCTAAAGGCGTCGCCGCTAAAGATCGTCGACAATAAAATCAGCTTCATCCTCACTTTCTTCCTTGATCTACTTCTCTCTTCTCTCTGCTAACCACCATCGACCGATGATCACCGAAATCTTCGATATTTCACCCTTCTTCCTCTCCATTTCCCCCCCTTTTTCTTTTCCTTTTCTCTTCTCCCTACTAAAATTGTGTTGATTGTCGGAATTTTGAGACCCCCACCGTTCTTGCCGGAGTATACCGCCACCACCACTGTTCATGACAAAATTTTGATAATTTTGATATTTTAGATGTGTATTTGTATGTGTATTTTGTGTTTGTAGATGTGGATATGTATTTATATTTGCATTTGTATGTATATGTGTATCTTGAGTGTATTTTTATGTATGTATATTTGTTTTTGTATGATCATTTATATGTATATGTGTATTTTGTATGTAAATTTTGTATGTGTATGTGTTTTTGTATGTATATGTGTATTTTGTATGTGTATTATGTATGTGTATTATGTATGTATGTGTATTTGTATGTATACAAATACATATAAATAGCGGCGACACCTTTAGTGGCGACAGATAGTATTAGCAGCGACGTGCCTTTAGCGGCGTCAGAAGGCAATAGTGGCGACCAAAGGAGCATTAGCGACGAACCAATAGCAGCGACCCTTTAGCGGCGACATTTTCGACCTTTAACGGCGACGCCCATTGCCGGTAATACTCTAATTTCTTGTAGTGCATGAGGGACCAAAATGTTCGAGGGTAAGATAGAATAGCTCTTGAAAGAGCAAGAAATGTGAGAGGGTAGAGCCTCTTATTTATAGTAAACGAATTTTCGAAAAGCTCCCTTATAATTACTTAAACGACTAAACAACCCTTAATAATACTATTTTAAATAGATTTAATGATATTTGTAGTAAATTAATATTGAAAATATTTCATTATTAGTCTTATGCTACCAAAATGATTTTACCTGTTATGATGTCTTCTCTCAACTTTTCACTTCAAGCCTCAATTTCTGATTTCCAGTATTCAGGTAATTGCTTCCACATCTTCCACATGTGTGGTTTTATTGAATTTTGGTTTTTTCTGTTATTTTGATTAAGTTACAGGTCATTGCATTAACAACATTGTATGGCTATAATTTGGTTTCAAGAAGAGCCCAACAAGTAGGTATATATGTAATTAAACTTTCTAATATGTAAAAGACGATCGGATTACACAAATTGGACATCAAATTATGACTCTTTCAAGAAAAAACTTCTTTAATGACTTTTACTTATATGTTGTTAAAATGTAACAAGTTTGATCATGCATACTAAGTGCTCGATGAAATGCTTGAACAAGATTTTATTACTAATTTATTTAACTGCACTTACATACGAATAAGCTAATACAATAATTTAATCAGTATACTTTTTTGAATGGTTTTTAATCTAATTTTTATAAAAAAATTTATAATTGTTGTAGTTTTGCTTGACTTTGCTCAGGTATATGTAACCAATGGCACTTGGAACCCCATATTTTTCTGTCAGTTTTATTGATAAAACTAAGGCTAATGGCCTACCAAACAAGTTATTTTATTTATCTTCCATGTTTTCAGATTCAATTTGTAGAGTTTAGTGATTTTGCAGTTCTTAACATGCACTGTTATCAGACCTTTGCTTCTGTTAACTTGCATCTGTTATTTGATGGTGTTTAATGTGTGTTCAACTATATAAACAAACTTCATGAAAATTGGTAAGGCCTTTGTCTAAATAAATTAATGTTGTAATTTATTTATTTATATACAAGTTTAAATTTATAATTGTGATAATAACTTTTAATTTGGGTGATTGTGTTAGGATTGAAACCAAAACCACCTGACACCTGTTGTTGATACAGATGCCAAAAGTAGCCAGGTGAGTGAGATGTGTAATCATGTTTTGGATATATTCAAATAGAGGGTACAAAAAGAGAACACCTAATATATTACACAAAAATTGCACACATTCTCAAATGTAACCACATACAGAGCTTTAGGGTTAGAAGCTTTTACCCATACAATTACTTACACGATTATTTGCGATTATTCTTGCAATTTTCATGATGTAATTGTTATTTAATGAGATTCTACAAATAAAACACATTGACATGTAAAAGGAATCATATCTCATAATTCATGAAATATTTATGTGATGACCATCACTTGAACTTATTGTGAGACAATGATTTCTTTAGTTTGTGAGCTTCAGTTGGCAACTTAACAGCGGTAGCCAATCCTATTGCTTCAAGAAACCTTATCATGTACCAACAAAAGTCAATTTGCCACCACTCTAACCCATGTCTTGCTGAATATTCAAATGCATGATGATTATTATGCCATCCTTCTCCAAAAGTAAGCAATGCAACCCACCTGTGTACATGTGCATATTAAATATAAGTATTTCTAAATGAAGTGATTTATATACAAATTTACATTTTGAACTTTAATTGTGTACCAATTATTCTTGGAGAGATCACCAGTCTCCCACTTTTGATATCCCCATACATGACAAGCTGAGTTCACTAGAAACGTCGTATGATAACCCCATGTCGGTGCAACACCCTACATAAATGCTCATGAGTCAATAAATTCATGATTAATTGTATATGGAAATGGAAACAAGACAGTGATTTGTATTATTCATCTTGCAAAGTCTTACCACAGCCCAAACGAAGTAGGTAAATCCACCATAAGCATACACGCAGGCTGCAAATGCGGATATATGAAATATATATGTTTTTTGAAGGAACCTATAGAATACTTGACTCTTTAAATCCTCTACGTTATTACGTTCTTTATACTGCAAAATATATATATATGATCAACTTAAACGAGATGATTAGCCAAAACAAACTTTTTTTTTTTGGAATACAAACACACAAGGTACCTTTTCGATAATGTAGCCGCTATCAAAGAGCCAACCCATATGACTATACCAAAACCCAAAAGTGGGAGAGTGTGGATCTTTCTGGGAATCAACGTATTGATGGTGAAACCTATGAATGCTCACCCAAAAGATTGGATCCCTCTATATATATAAAGTAATCTTCATATATGAGTGTTTAGTTAAATAACTAATCATTAATTAAAGAATATATGTATGAAAGAAAATAAAAACCAACCTGGAAAGAGAGGACCCCAAGATAAGCAAACGTGTACTCGAGCCACTTAGGCAGTTTGAGGCTGTGGTGTGCTAGGTTACGATGATACGACAGAGTTACACCACAAATCCCACACAACACCCATGTCCAAAATGCAAACAAGAAAGCATCCCAAGCAAGCTTAAATGGTGCGACAAGTGCTAGTAAATGAATAGCTAAAATCCCAACACCCATTTGAATGTCGATGTTCCTCCATTTTCGTCCCCAGAAGAGGTTTCTCTTACTTGTAACCACTACATCTGAAAGCAGTATTTTGCCGAACTCTGACTCCTTTACACCATTGGAAACCGTGACCAGATTTCTCATTTTTAAATGATGAATAAAATGAGCGTAGGATTTGTGGTAATATGTATGTACAAAGTGGTGATATTTATAAGGAAAAAACAGTTTCATGAGGTTTGGAGAGGGTTGGTGAAATGCATGTAATGATGTCAATATGTCATGCATGCAAGTCTTATGTTAGTACTGTTAAATTTTTTTTTTTTATACAATCAATGGAGACTTACATTTTCATGCTACACTTAACAAGAGTCTTCCGATTAACAACTAAGTTATCAGCAATTTGCACATAGAATTTATAGAACTATTTCATAAAAGTAATGAAAATAAGTCTTCCCTTTATTTTTATTTTACTCTCTCATTTTTTTTTCTTATAAATATTTGATACACATTTATATATATATATATATATATATATATATATATATATATATATATATATATATATATATATATATATATATATATATATATATATATAGAGAGAGAGAGAGAGAGAGAGAGAGAGAGAGAGAGAGAGATAGAGAGAGAGAGAGAGAGTGTGTGTGTGTGAGTAAAGTAGGAACTAACCGTTAGTACCAAACACCGATTATATACGGGTTCCAAATTTAAATATATGAGACGGTACTCGGTACTCTAAAATCATGAAATTTGATACCAATATTGTTCATTCAGTTCGGGAGTAGGTATCGTTTTTTCACCATTTCAGTATTCGGGATTCTTGGTTTGGTATCTGTTCTGTCCTATGTCCATTTAAGTGAACGCGCGTTATTCAGATTAAACATGGTCCATGGATCGACATAAAAGTGAAATGCTATTTCATTGTAACATGGACATAAATGGCGTAGTTATTGGGGGTAATAGGGTAAGTGGGATGGAATAAATACGATATATATATATATATATACAGACTGGTGGAGTAAGTGTGTCAATAAATGAAACTGAACACTCTGTATAAGGAAGAAAATTATCTTTCTAAAACCACAAAGTCATATGATCGTTTTTTTTAATATATTTATCATTAAACGATCAACTATAAACACGTTAATTATATGTTAACCTTGAGTCTCAATTACACACCCATTTATATGTTAACATGATCAAGAATACATACCCATTTTGCTTTCATAGATTGAACATGTATAGATTTAACTACTATATATGGTTTCTATATCATAAAGTATATATGGTGTCTATGGCTTTATGAGATCAGGGGCGGAATACGAGATCTAGAACTAAGGAGCCGACATCAAAACTTCACAACCAACTTATATAAAGAATTTAATGTGGTTCAAAGTCTTGACATATATAAAAATCTAAGTAAAGCAATTCAAGTGAAAAAAAATGTTCATTAACTTCTTATATAGGGAATATATGTATGTTTCACAAAAATATATAATCTTACGAACTATTTGTGATATTTACAAGATTAAAGTTGTTTTTTGAACACGATTTCACAATTTATTTTATGTCAGAACAATAGTTATGTTGGATATAGTTCGCAAACCTAACTACGTACTATTAATATATTAACTTCAAGTTTTTTTCTTATATAATTAATTTTTATAAATGATGGTGAATAACTTATTAAAAATATACTGTTTGTTTCCCTAAATTAAAGTCAAATATACTGTTTGTTTCCCTAAATTAAAGTCAGATTATTTTATAGACGCCATCTATCTTTGGTGCGCTCAGAAGCAATAAAATGACAGAGATTTAACGTATTTCAGTCAATATACCATACGTCCATGGACATGAACCGGAGTGTGATGCCACAAGTATTTATAACTGTAAAATCTTAGCAACTATCGGCCCTAAGCCTACTCCGGAGTGTGATTTAGAATTTGATGACCCGAATGGATAACCAACCCGAAAAAAAAATGAAGAAAATGTGACCATGTATATAGATGGGATAAGTGTTTGGATCCAAACACTTTACTCGGATTGGTCACCTATTTGAGTCACTAAATTCCAAATCACACATTAACAATCTTAATTTAGACCATGATAATTAAATCACAAAACCAAAGCTACAAACATTTTTTTTATAAATAATATAGTTTCTTTCATTAAAAGGCAGTGAAATTATATGATAAATATCAAAACTAATAATAAAAAAGAATAGTATGAACAAAAGGGACATGTGGTGGTGGTAATGGGAGGAGTGATACATGTTCCTAAAAAAACAACCGGATAATATATAATTAACTGTTTGTGTTGTTTTTAGTCCGCACCTCCACCCGACCCGAGTCCTTGGACATATGGGTATATTAGTTTGTTGAAAAACGGGTTGAGGTTTGAAGTATCGTTTATAGTATAAAATATGGAATTAGAATTAAGTAATGTTTTATGAAAGGTATCCTAAGTTATATGAATGCAGTTTTAATTAGGCAACTAAAAACTACATAGTATCATTTATTAGAGCAATTTTATTAAGAAAAAAAAACAGCAAAATATTGATCTAACGTTGAATTAATCGGTTTAGGTCAAAAAAAATTGCAATGTGCATGTGGTCCAATCTCGTATGCATTAAAAGCTTCAAAGTTCTATATTTTCAATTTTGCATGCATGTGACAGATATTAACTGTCAAAAAATGAATATGACACCACGGCAGCGTCATCGTTATAATTGCATACTGATATATTTTTTTTCTCACCATGACAAGTTTATCCATTAAGGATCTAGTTTATCTATATATTATTTATATTTGTAACAGTAACACCACAATTTATAAACTGTTAATTCGACATTATTAATTGGATATTGATGATAAAATTAAAACATAGAGACTGAACTATAGGAAATATGAACTAAAGTACCTTTATTCCACATGATACAACGTGAAAAATTATGTTTAATTACAAAATTTCCATGCATATGACTTTTACTTTTTTTAGGTATATGTTTTTATATAAGTTGTATCTCATATGCTAAAATAGGCTACATTTCTATTAAGGGAAATAATGATATGTATAGGGCACATTTAGATCGGATAATGCATGTGGGGTGGCCGGGTGGCCGAGATATACATGTAAAATTAATGGACCTTTACTATAAGATATTTATTGTTTTTGAGATTAGAATTATTATAAACTGTCATATTCTAACTTTTATGGGTTTTTAATCAATTGTATTTTTACTTACAAGTCTTTTTTTTTTTGTCAAGTAGACTCTAGTATGAAAATGAAAAAAGGAAACTCATTAAATTATTCAAATGAGGCATTTTAAGTCAACATTTGTCCAAATGTAATATCTAACGTGTCATTTTTTAAATTTGAAAGTTAAAATTAAGTATCCTGAGGACATGACCCTGAGGACATGACAGGTAAAGACAAAAACATAAAAACTCATAAACTTAACATTCATCCATCTTTCAGACCAATACACCAAAAGAGAAGGAAGTTCGTACCGGAGAGAAACCAAGTTATACAAGAAGAAGTAGAAAAACTTCTTAAAACAGGGATGATCAAGGAGGTGAAATTCCCAAGGTGGCTAGCTAATGTGGTCGTGGTACAAAAGAAGAATGGTAAGTGGATAGTGTGTGTAGATTACGCGGATCTTAACAAGGCTTGTCCAATGGATCCTTTCCCTCTACTACACATAGACTCCATGATAGATGCGATAGCGGGTCATGAACTACTAACATTCATGGATGGATCAGCGGGATTCCAACAGATCCAGATGGAACCATCTGACCAAGAGGATACAGAATTCATAACTCCAACATGTATTTATTGTTATACTGCCATGCCATTTGGTCTTAAAAATGCAGGTACGACATACCAAAGGCTAGTAAACAAGATGTTCAAAGAGAAACTAGGGGACACCATGGAAGTCTAAATAGATGACATGGTGGTCAAGTCTAAGAAAGCTGAAAATCATCTCAAGGATCTTGAAGAAGCCTTCGACATACTGGATGAATATAACATGAAGCTAAATCCCTCCAAATGTCACTTTGGAATGAGATCAGACAAGTTCCTTGGATACATGGTAACCAAAAGAGGAATTGAATCAAGCCCGGAGAAAATCAAGGCCATCCTCGATCTAAGATCACCATCCTCGACAAAAGATATTCCAAGACTATCAGGAAGAGTGGCAGCCCTAAACAGGTTCATCTCAAGATTCTCAGAAAGATGCAAGCCTTTCTATGACATTTTGAAGAAGAACAAAAGGTTTGATTGGACCAAGGAACATGAAGATGCTTTCCAGGAACTTAAAACATATTTAAGTTCAACACCCCTATTGGTAAAAGCATTAGATGGGGAACAACTTCTCTTATACCTTTCAGTATCCTCAAACGCGGTGAGTGTAGTCTTGGCTAAGGATCTTAATGGGGACCAACATCCTATCTACTATGTAAGTAAAAGTCTCTTGGATCCTGAGACCAAGTACTCCCACCTTGAATAACTTATATTTGCATTAGTAACTACTTCTACTAAATTAAGACACCATTTTGAAACACATCCTATAAATATAAGAACTAATTATCCCATTAAGAATGTTATGAGAAAACAAGAAATGTCAGGAAGTATGGCAAAGTGGTCCGTGAAATTAAGCACATATGATATAAAGTATGAGCCAAGATCCACTATAAATTCTCAAGCATTGGCAGACTTTGTGGCTGACTTTAGTGATGATCTACAAACTGAAGTAGAAGTAGAAGCCAAACAACTTCTAGAAGAAGAAAACATGGGAAGATGGACATTATTCACAAATGGAGCATCAAACCAAAAAGGAATTGGCCTATGGATCATACTAAAATCGCCACAGAGGGACATCCTACCCCAAGAAATCAGTTGTGAGTTCAATACAACCAACAATGAAGCAGAATATGAGACACCAATCATGGGGTTACAGTTAGACAAGGATCTTCGAATCAAGGATCTTCAGGTATTCGTCGATTCTTTATTATTAACTAACCATTTTAATGGATTCTATGCAGTAAAAGGAGAAAGAGTAGCACTATATCTCCAGATCCTCAATAACTTAGCCTTAGAATTCAAAGCATTTAGCCTAAACCAAGTCCCTAGAGAAGACAATGTTGAAGCAGATGCTTTAGCCA